AGAGTGTGACTGAACGCATGAGAGTGTAAACACGAGAGCGATCAAGTGAGAATGAGAGTGAGTGTGTGAGAATAAAAACGTGAGAGTGGGTGCAGTAAATGAATGAATCCGGGAGAGCGAACGCGTGAATGAGAATGAATGCATGGGAGGGGGGACGCGCGAGAGTGTGAGTGAATGTATGAGAGTTTAAGTGAATTCGTGGGAATGAGAAGTAATGTGTGAGTTTAATTAGAAGCAAGTGAGAGTGAATGATTGGGAGTGAAGGCGTTAGAGTGAATGCCTCAGAGGGTGCGTGTGTGCAGAATGGGTTGAGCGTCGATACATTAATGAATTAATATGTTTTGATGTTTTATATACAGACAGTACTCGACTTACGAACACCCGCACTTACAAACTAGCTTCCATGAAATATATATTTATGTTTTACATTGACTTAAAACGCGAACTTGTACTTGCAAACTGAACCGCAAAACTATTTTGTCCAGCGGTGCGATCCTCCGCAAGATGTAATCAATCAGCCCTGCGCTGGGAGTCAATGTGCGTGTGTGTGCGTGTGTGTGCGTGTGTGTGAAAGTGTGTGCGTGTGTGCATGCGCGTGTGTGTGCGTGTGTGTGAAAGTGACCGTGTGCATGAAAGTGTGTGCGTGTGTGCATGCGCGTGTGTGTGCGTGTGTGTGAAAGTGACCGTGTGCATGAAAGAAAGTGTGTGCGTGTGTGCATGTGCGTGTGTGTGCGTGTGTGTGAAAGTGACCGTGTGCATGAAAGAAAGTGTGTGCGTGTGTGCATGTGCGTGTGTGTGCGTGTGTGTGAAAGTGACCGTGTGCATGAAAGTAAGCGTGTGCGTGTGTGTGCGTGTGTGCATGTGCGCGTGTGGTCGCGTGTTCTCCCGTGTGTGTGTGTGTGGGGAGCGGTAGCGTAGCCCTTAGTGCGCTGCACTACAAACCCGGCGACCCGAGTTCGATTCCTGCTGAGCCTCAAATGAGTACCTGGTGCGATGTGTAAACATCGACACTAGGGAGGCAAAGGTGGCCAGGCGTGGTGTTGGCCACGCACCCCCTTAGTGCCATGTGCCGGCCTTCATAGGTGCTCGCGAACAGCACTTGCCCCAACAGTCGGTCAAGGCTATATGGGGAATCTTTGTCTTTGTTTTGCCCCGTGTGTGTGTGTGTGTGTATGAGGAGCGGTAGTGCAATGGTCAGCACGCTGGGCTACCAACACGGCGACCGGGGTTTGGAATCCCGCTCATGACCAACACCAGTCACGATTATCTGAATGGGTCCTGGGCCTCCCCTCGGTCGACTTAGCCTCATATGAGTATGTGGTGCAGTTGTGTAAACGTCGTCTCTGGGGAGACAACGGCAATCGGACGTGGAGATAGCCACCCGATTAGACAGACAATCCAGAGCAGGAGGTTGTGGCAGTATTAGTGAAAAATGACCGACCTTGCATACAACTTACTACCGTATCTCACCCGGGCACTTGCATGTATCGTGACAATTAGTTATTCTCCGGGTAACCAACATTTGACTCCGATGTGTTTCTATAGATCACCAAATAACAAACCAATCACTGGATAAAATTACATCACCCATTCTAAAAGTTGAACTATTGCCGTAGGAGAGCTCAATTAGAATTGGCTAAACCCATCACACGATGCATTAAACTTTACAGACCAGTACAATCTAAATCAAATCAATTGAATACTTCAACCAGTAGACCCAATAAAAAAATTAAAATAGATGAACTCGCCAAATAAGAAATGAATTTTTTTCATATTATCAAACTTCTAAATCCACAAAAACCCAACACTATTCTGGCAAACGTTGAATTCAGTTTAAAACAAAGGAAATAAAACATTTCTACCAAAAAAACTCCTACCGGATGGCTAAAAATGTTTCACAAAACAAGTCATTGTCAATGAATGTAATTATCATTTGTGTTATCTGCGTTTTCACTTGTGGCTGTGGCAGATCTCATCTAGAAACCCCTCACACACATTTTCAACCTTGCACTTATTGAAGGTACATTTCCACTGGAGTGGAAATCCACTCTTATTCGTCCAGTATGTAAAAAATGGCTCCAAAGAAGATCCTAACCATTATAGACCAATCTTTATTCTCTCACCACTGACAAACATTCGAAAAAATACCTGAATCACTAATACATTGCTACCTAAAAAGTCACAATCTCACACAAAGAGGATAAATGCACCACCACAGCTATTATGGATGTCTCTTCAGTAACCTGGATACAAGCTGCTACTGCTGTATACTATGTCTTGACTTATCAAAGCCTTTGCCACTGTTGACCATGATATTCCACTCACAAGACTTGGTCAACTAAACATTTCAGAGAGTACGATGGAATGGTTTAAGCATTACCTCTCAGACCATTCTCAAAATGTATACAGTGATCACATCTCATCCACAAGTCAGAATCAGAATCTTTATTTCGACTCGAGGAATCTGATGAGCTATGAAGCTCTTTTTAAAAATAATATCCAGTACGGGCGGGTCAGAGAGTTACAACTACAATACGAAAACACATAGGCGTGCAAAGTATCGGAAAGGTAAACAGGTCACAATAATAAATACACAAAGCTCATAAGTACACATTGCATAAGTATATCAATTTCCGCCGATTTTTTTTACAATAATTGCAAGCTTGGCCAAGGCTACGAAACACCAACAGTCCCAGACCACAGCAAGACAACACATAGTCCCCCAATAACATTGCACATTCAAATTGAGCTATTGATACACTGGTAAGGATCAAAGTGACAAATGTGGTTGTATCCACCACGAATCTTCTGCGTCAGGATATTTTTCGAAGGAAGATTTACGATGTCAAGGGAGGAAACAAAGTTGTCCCAACATGTTGGTGCTGCAAGAGCAAAGGCTTAGTCACCTTTTACAATTCTCATTTTTAGGATAGTTCAAAGGCAATTAGATGGACATCGAAGGTTTCTTGGATTTGACAATGTGGTTAATGAATTAGCTACGTGTAGCGCAGATTTGCCAATCAGGATTTTATGGATGAACAGGGCCCAGTGTAGATTTAATCTCGCATCAAGTGATGTGAGATTGTATTGGTGGGTCCTGTATGGCACATCCAGTGCAAATAGAAGAGCAAAATGATGATTGGAGTTTAGTCTGTTCATTGTTTCATTAGTAGCTGATTTTTGCGTCCTCTATCTATTTATGTTTAATGATTTGCTTTCCATTCCTATATTTTGCACGCCTACATGTTTCTGTATTGTTGTTGTAACGTTCTAACCCCCCCCACCCCGTCCGCCCCAGCTGCTGGACATCTGTGAAAAAGAGCTTGATAACTCATCCGATTTGACCAGGATAAAGATTTTTTTTAATATTGTGAATGCGTGATAGATTCGGTAAATGTTGAAAAGTGATAGTGAATGCGTGAGAGTGGGAATGGATGTGTGAAATGCTTGCGTGAGAGTGACTTGCCTGAGAGTGTGCCTTCATGGATGAGAGTGTGTGAGTGATCACGGGTGAGTGTGAGTGATCACGTGAGAGCGCACGCATGAAAGCGAACGAGTAATGATGATAGTGAATGAGTGAGAATGAATGCGGAAGATTGAGTGTGAATGAGTGAGAGTGAATGCACGAGAGCGAGAGTGATCGCGTGAAAGGATAGTAATTGCGTGAGAGCGGGAGTGAACGAGCGAGTGAGTGAGAGTGAATATGTGAGCGTGAAAGTGGCTGCGTTAGCGTGCGCATGCATGCAGGACAGTGTGAGTAAATGCGTGACAATGGGAGTGAATATGTCAGAGTGAATACGTGAAAGTGAGTCAATACATGAATGAGAGTAAATGCATGGGAGTAATGGCACGAGAGAGTGAAAGTGGGAGTGAATGCGTGAAAATGAGAATGGATGGGCGAGAGTGAGTGATCGGTTAAGAGTGAGATTGAACTGTTAAGAGTGAATGCGTGCGAGCGAATGTGTGAAAGGAGAGTAGATGCGTGAGAGTGGGAGTGAATGCATGACCGAGAGAGAATTCCTACAAGAAAGCAAGTGCACGCTTGAGAATTAGAGGGTATGCGTGAGAGCGAATGCTTGAGTGCGTTATTGAACGTGTGAGCGAATACGTGAATGTGAGTGCACGCGAGAGAGTGTGGGTGAATGCGTAAGAGTTAACGAGTGAGAATTAGAGTGAATGTGTGAGAGTGGGAGTGAGAGAATGGAGGATCTGTAGTGTAGCGGTTAGCGCGCTGCATGACGAACCCGGTCCTGGGCCTCCACTGGGGAGACAAAGGCGGCCGAGCGTAGTGCTGGCCACCTACGCCTTCGTGTGCTCGCGAACAAAATACCTTTAAGGTTACGCGGGGGATTATTTTATCTTTGTTATGAGAGCGAATGCGGGATGTTGTATATATAAATGTGTGAAAATGTGAGTAACGGTGTGAGAGGGAATCCGTTAAAGTGAGAGTATGAGAGTTAAAGTTGAATGCGTTCGAGTGTGAGTGAATGCTTGAGTGAGTGCCTGCGATTGGGAGTGAATGGGTGAGAGTGCGTGAGTGAGTTTGAGTGTGAACCTATGATAGTGAATGCATCAGAGCAAAAGTTAACACGTGAGAATAAATACGTGACAGTTGGAGTGAATCCGCAAGTGAGAGACAGAATGCGTGAGAATAAGAGTGAATTCCTGAGAATGAGAACGCTCGAGAGACATAGTGAATACGTGATAGTGAGGGTGAACGCGCGACAGTGAATGTATGCGAGTGCGAGCGAATGCGTGCGTCAGAGTGAATGCCCGAGAGTAGGAGTGCCTGCGTGAGTGAATGGCTGAGATTGAGATTGAATACGTGAGCGTGAACGCGTGGGAGTGTTCAGTCGTCGTGAGGCGGCATTGGCAGCGTGCGTCTTGGGGACAGATAACAGCCGAGGGGAGGGGGCGGGGAGTTGGTGGTAGGAGGGGGCGGGTGGACCTCTATATAAAGTTGAATCTCGTCGCGCAGTTTCGTCCAAGCGAAAGTCAAATCGTAGCCGTCCTTGTAACGCCCGTTTTCTTTCAGGACCATGGAGAGCGGCCGCGTGCTGCTCCTCGTTGTTCTTGGCGCGTCTCTCCTCGTGGTCGCGTGCCGCGCTCAGCTCAGCACCGAGATGAGAGACACCCGCGCCTCCTCTTGGGATATCGCTTCGGTAAAGGACTCAAGCAGCCTCCACGAGAAAGAGTTGGTAAGCTGGCCGAGTAACTCTGGTGTCGTAGCGTACACTGGATAGCAAGCGACGTAGTCACATATGTTGTTCTCTTAATAAGATTCGTATTCTGTATTTTCAATGCTCGTAAACGCACTGGTAATGTTGTTTTCCCTCTTTCAAGTAAAATAAATGTAACTTCCACCAAACTGAACCGCAGTTATAATTAAGTAAATGTGTGATGATCTTCCTGCCAGCAACTAAGTTGTTATTTCAGCCCACTTCGTTGGTATTGGTTCAATCCCGTGCACACTACGAAATCAGTAACATTGAAATCCAGATACGATCCAAAAGCTTTCTCTGGTACAAAGCGTCTCCTGAAGGCGCTTTCCCACGTGAAGACGCTGTGTACGTGTTTGTATGGTTGTGTATGCGCAGCCGTTGCAGTCAAGACTAACTGGTAGTGTGCCATCAGAGGTGTGACGCTTTTCACTCCGTCAAAGTGACGTCGCATTAGTGCGACCATCATGCCCAAGAAGCGACAGCTGTTGAGTGGTTAGAAGCAAGGAAATCCCTTTGTGAAATATTTTTGCAATGCGGGATGCCCAAAACGGATTGGATTTGTGGTTAGCAGAATTGACTATTCAAAATCATCATCAGCGTTATTTTTGGCCATTAGTTAATTAAGTATGTCCAATTTTAAAAGGTTGCTACAAAAAAAAAACAATTCCACCTAAGAATATAATCTGAGTATCTAAGTAATGCAGCAAAACGAAATGGAATCTGTCTGGAAATAAAGTTGTGCCATTTAGAACGAAAACTAAATTATTTTAATTTTACCAGGTAAGACTAACTGTGCTATATAGCTCTTTTTCAGGAGCGACCTGGCCAGAGCTCAACGAAGTGGCTTATAATGAGCACATTTATAGCAACCAAATACTCTAAACGCATGTTTCTAAATAAGGAGGAAAAATCCGGAGAACCCAGAGAAAAATCCACGCCACCACGGGGAGAACACGCAAACTCCAAATATACAGGCATCATGATCGGGATCGAACCCACGACCTCCTGCATTCCAGGCAACGGAATTAACATCCCGCCACCGTGGCGACAATTTGTGCCTGTTGCATCATGGGTGCTTAAAACGGTGCAAGGACTGTTTTATAATCTCAACTAGACGGTTGATATACCGTCGCCTAAGCATTGCGCACACATCTCATATTCTGTCCTCTTACAGCTGGAGGCTCTGCAGGAGGTCCTCGAGAAACTGCAGAGCAAGAGAATTCCCACCTGGGAGAAAAAATTCGGACAAGTCGCTTTGGTAAGTGCAGCCAGGCGGAGAAAGAAACGTTTAGAGACAAAACACACATTATACACACGACCACATTGAGAAAAGGACGTATATATTAGAGAGGACATAAATACACAAGGGAATTACGTTGTATACATGGAACTTAACGCTAGGGAACACAGCGCCTTGGGAAAAAAAGAGCACATGAAGACACCAAAACACAGAGAGACACTGAGAAAAACAAAGCGAAATATAAGAATTGGTTTTATTCTTTCTGGCAATAAGGTAGGTTGTTGAGATGTTAAAACACCAAACAGTAAATGCACATTACACAAAACACGGTGAGTGAAAGCTCTGCCGGTGTTTAGACCAGAGTGGCGGGAGCCACGCGAACAGGTGGGGCAATAGTTGTTTTCACCGCCCAATTATTGTGCCGTTTATCAACGTTCCTTGTGGCTGGCCGTGTGTGGGGCTGTGTGTGCGGGCTGTGTGTGCGGGCTGTGTGTGGGGCTGTGTGTGGCTGTGTGGGGCTGTGTGTGCGGGCTGTGTGTGGCTGTGTGGGGCTGTGTGTGGCTGTGTGGGGCTGTGTGTGTGGCTGTGTGTGCGGGCTGTATGTGGCTGTGTGCGGGCTGTGTGTGCGGGTTGTGTGTGGGGCTGTGTGTGGCTGTGTGGGGCTGTGTGTGCGGGCTGTGTGTGGCTGTGTGGGGCTGTGTGTGGCTGTGTGGGGCTGTGTGTGTGGCTGTGTGTGCGGGCTGTGTGTGGCTGTGTGGGGGGCTGTGTGTGGGCCGTGTGTGTGGCTGTGGGGCTGTGTGGGGCTGTGTGTGGGGCTGTGTGTGCGGGCTGTGTGGGGCTGTGTGTGGGGCTGTGTGTGCGGGCTTGCAGTGCGGCGCCGGGGACCAGTGCGCTGTGAGGAAGGGAGCACGCATCGGCAAACTCTGCGACTGTCCTCGCAGCTACGCCTGCAACTCGTTCCTGCTCAGGTGCCTGTGAGCATCGCGAGCAAAGCAGCAACCAGCGTCAGCCCAAGATCGCCTCGCTTCTACGCACACGACTCAACCGGCGACTCAACTCACCAACTCCCATCCGCAACACACCCGGATCGCCCACAGCGTTCCATAATAATGATACATAGTCTAACACTCGTTACTCCGAATCACGCTTCTCTATCCTCCAAACAACTCGGACCCTCTCATTTCAGAGCACGGATCTTGCCTGCCAAACCTCGGTGCGGTTTTGACAGTTGTCATGTTGATGAATCGCTCTTTATCGATTGTTACACTCATTAAAAAAAAAATTGTGCGTTTTTAGGATCGATTATATATGTGTATAATTCAAAGTGTATGCATATTACTCGCTATCTTTCGGCTCCTAGAATGGACAAGGTAAAAGACACGATACACAGATGATGAACGAGAGGTGTCATTTCGATTTAAAGCTTTTGTGACTGCGGGGATTCATCTTCTTGGTTCTTTCGGTAAAGTCACGTAGAAGGGAAATAATAAAATAATACAAATAAAACATAATAATATAATATATTATTTTAATAATAGAATATTATATTTTATTATGTTATATTTTTATTATTGCATTATTTCCCTTCTACGTGACTTTACCGAAAGAACCAAGAAGAGAGTTGTCATCTCTTTGAATTAAATACGTAAAAATAAAAACCACCGAGGACTGGACCGTGACGGTCAGGCTCGAGTCCAAACAAGTCGTGGCTCCCCTCACTCCCATCCAATTGCTCAATGCCTCGCCAACCCGTGCAAGTGCTGGGAATAGACGCAAGTAACTAAACGTCAATAACGTAGAACGTCTATATTTCATCGTCTCTTTGTTGAACGTTTACCGCGAAAATGATGTATTCGTTATGTAAATAATAAAGTATATTCTGTTCCTTGCTATGCACTCAGCGCGCGTGTGTTTATGCGGGGACTACGATAACTCATTGAAGAATCCGTTTCCTTATAATCAGTCTGTAATTTACGTATTCTTGCTTTCGATAAAAAAATATATAAGCCACAAGTGTCATTATTAAGCCAGGTGTAGTATTTATTCGCTGGTTTGTCGTGGCATAAAATGACTCGTGACGTTTGCAGGTAATTTGTGTAATAAGGTCATTTCTATAAAGTAACCACTTTAGTCATGCGCTTTTTTTCCATTGAGGAATGAGCAACACTACACGAACACTCTCATGAAGCCATCTCGTGACGAGCAGACCCCGACATTGGCATTTAGCTCCTAAACATATTGCTAGACCCAATACGGTCTTCCTTAAGATGTGAGGAAGCCACCGGGCGCTCTGCACTTTTAAATCTAGTATGAAAACTAATTTCTTTAGAACTGCTTTTTGTGTTTAGTTTACTGTCCATTCTCCACGACTCCGATTAACACTATTGGTTACGTACGGTGCGAACGAAGTTTAACATACACACATGAATATAATTTCTATAAGTATATAAATAAATATCATCACAACAATAGCTCCTCTTGTGTGCGTTTCCTCCGTTTGACGTGTCCTGTCAAAGCCCAGTTTTGAACAATGAAAATATCGTTTCTAACAACGTGCAATTCAAATCCATTTACTTATTATTTCCGCCTCACTTCATGCAACCACCTCCATTGAGTCTTTGCGATGTTGTCAGATTTTTGTTTAACAGTTCTTTGTTAAAGCTCAGACAAAGATGAGGTGTGTGATGGAGGTGGCACGGGGAGGACCGGTGGTTGAGTGGTCGAGGAGCAGCGATAGTGGCGTGTAGAGGAAGCTGTACGGAGGAGGCACATTGAGGTGGTGGGGCGACGTTGGGGTACACATTTCAGTCTTCACTCTACCGCTAAAGTTTAGAGGCAGAATTAAATTTCAATTTAAAGCTTACGTGACTGCAAGGATTCACCTTCTTGGTTTTTTCGGTAAAGTCACGTAGAAGGGAAATAATAAAATAATAAAAATAAAACATAAAATTATTCTCACGACGTTTCGGCCACAACGCAAGCAGCCGTCCTCAGGTGAAGAACAGGTCTGTCCCCCTCCAACCCAGCTTAAATATAGGCTCCAAGCCTGGTGGTGTTTCATTCAGACGCTGACTTTCCGACAGACCTGTTCTTCACCCGAGGACGGATGCTTGTGTTGTGGCCGAAACGTCGTGAGAATTATTTTATTATGTTTTATTTTTATTATTTTATTATTTCCCTTCTACGTGATGACTTTACCGAAAGAACCAAGAAGATGGTGGAGCGATGTACCTGTTTTTGACGACATGGTGGTGGGTACGACACGAGTGGACCGTGGGGAAGCAGCGTGTCGAGTGGGAGCAACATGTTGGAGTGGCACGTACGCTTGCTTGCCTCCAGCGTGTTTGTATATTTGTATCTCTCATTCACCCCCCTCTTTCTGCTTATTACAGTTGCTTCACTTCTCTCCTCTCCGATGACTCGACTCCATACTCTTTGTCCCCCCCCCCACTCTTCCTACCATGGCTTATTTCTGCTCTGCATGCCCATCTCCCTCCCCTCCCGCACATTCACCTCTCTCATCATCCCCTCCTCTCATCGTCCCTTCCCTACCTTCTGTAACTTTAATGAGTTTATCTCTCTCCTGCCACAATCAGTCCCTCCCATTTTGACCCTCCTTCCATAGTCGCCCCACCTATTCCATCTCGCTTCTCCCCTCTCCTCTACGCACCTAATTCTCTCTCTTCTTGAAATATTCTTTCATTCCACAACTCTTCTCTCACTATTCTATCTGGTCCTCCCCATAACCACGTCCTGCCTTGTTTTTCTACTATACCCATGCGATATAGACCCACTAGTACTGTATTATGTAATCGCAAATCGGTTAGCAAACTGCTAGTCTTGCTCCTTCTACTCAAAGGCGAAATTAAATATAACCATGGGCCTACACCTTTTCTTTTCCTACCTCTTCTTAATTTAGTGCTTCCGACTTCGCTAACTGTTCGGGCTTGGGCACCCTACATCTGAACATCCATGGTCTCTTTAAAAAGCTTAAAATAGACAAACTGTGACCGGACATTGTGCCCGCATCACTGAAACGGGGCTCTGGATTCGAACTCGGAGTAACTTGACAGACCGTCGACAAAAGTTGGTGGTATCTTCATTTATGCAGCGAGAACCCTCCTTATTCATACAAAAAATTATATTTGCTAAAACTTTGTTTGGTAAAAAGTCTCCTCCATGTTTCTGAAATACACTTCAATCCCTCTCTTTATTTGCCTATTAAATAATAAAAACAACCACAGCATACTTGGACCTGTACCTAACCTTTTCCGGTGCTTCTTGGTCTAATTTTATTTGCACTGGTTTCATTTACACACAACGCGTTTCATAAAAAAAATATATACATTCTTTGTCAGTTATGAAATATTAATGAACATCACCAAAATGGAGACGAAGAACGTCGTTCTAATTCCAAATACATTCCGGTGTATCATATCGAGCAGAAAAGATACTCGTATAATGTATACGCATCAAAAGATGACAATTTAATTTGTGCATTTGTAGCATCTTTACGTATTTGTGCGACTTACGTGTGCTTAATGTTTACCTAATTGCTTAGGGCAGCGGTCGGGAACCTATGGCTCGCGAGCCATATATGGCTCTTCTGGTGACGGCATATGGCTCCCAGACAATTTTGAGTTGAAAAAAAAATACAAAAATCAGTTTGGAACTGATTTTAAAATACTTGTGATATTGCTTAATAATACTGTGTCATTTTAAAGTAAACAGAAATTCGTTTTGAAGATACATTTCACGGGTCACGGGGCCTCAACGCCTGCATGAAGCTCAACCTCACCACGTACGAACCAGACTACAAGGCCATCAGCAAAACCATGCAGCACCAGAAGTCGCATTAAAAGTAAGACATATTTCATTTATTATACGTTAAAAATACTATATGGCTCTCAATGCAATATATTTAGAAATATTTGGGTTTTATTGCTCTCCCAGTCAAAAAGGTTCCCGACCCCTGGCTTAGGGGGTCCAGTCATCATGAAACAGTGATGACTGCGTCTTGTAGACGAATTACCGCTGGGGGGGGGGGGGGGGGATGAGGCGGGGGGTTGGACCTCGATATAAACTTGAATCTCATTGCGAATTTTCGTTAAAACTTCATCAAATCGTAGCTGTTCTTGCACTCGGTACGTTCGCAACGTCCTTTTCTTTCAGACCCACGGAGAGCGGCCATGTGCTGCTCCTCGCTGCGCTGGGCGCGTTTCTTCTCATGGTCGCGTTCAGCACCGAGATCAGAGACACCCGTGCTCACGTGAAGACGTGGTGTGCATGTTTGTATGGTTGCGTGTGGTGGTAACCCCTCCACCTGGAACTTCTTCTACCAAGCACCACGATGGAAACACCCAACTAAGCTCGTGCTGGAGGCCCCAGGGGACATATATTTCTGACGCCCTTTGGCCAAACCCCATTTCGCGGAGCCAGATTGAACCCCCTCTCTCGGGATTCTTCCAGGAACAGGAGAATACAGTATTGCGATTGGCCACGTGGAATGTTCGAACGCTCGTTGCGGAAGGGAGGCTGCCATTCCTTTGTCGGGAGATGGACAAGTACTGCCTGGACCTCTGCGGAATACAGGGGGTGAAGGGTGGACGAGTTCTGGCTCCAGTCACCATGAGGGCTGGAGAGTCCTCCACTCGGGGCAAGAAACTGTCAAAGAACAGAAAGTGACATTGCTCCAAAACAAAACAATAAAGGGGGTGTGGGCACGCGGAAGTGAGGTATGGGGAGCTGTGAGTCCCATACAGCTGTAGGCTCGCCTCCCCATCAACAAGAGGCTAGGAATGGTGGTGGTGCTTGGTTACACCCCCACCGAAGATAAACATCAATGGAGGGATGCAGACAAGGCCGATGAGTCAGACGCATTTTATAACCTCCTGTCCAAGGTGCTGGCTAAAATGGCCCCTGGGGATAGTCATCCTGTTAGGTGACTTTAATGACCAAGCAGGACATGACGTTGAAACCTGGGCTGGAGTAATTGGAAGGCATGGGCCAGATTAGTTCAATAATAAGATAGGAAGCTGCTAGCCTTCTGTGCAGCCCATGGGCGTGAAAATAGTGAATAGTATTCCATACCTGGGCAGTGTGCTTATGATCAGCTTCGGTTTGACAGCAGAGGTTTCACTCCAAATCAGTCGGGTGGCATTATGTTTTTGTCGGCTGCGAAACGCTGTGTGGAAGCTTCGGGTCTTCTCGACCACAGACATGCCCTCCCTTCTTTATGTCTGTGAAACGTGGACCTCGCGAATGAAACATCTGCATCGGAACATCAGGGTGGCCTGCCTATGATCCATCCTGGGATAACTGTAACTCGGCTGCATTGTGTGAGGAAGGGACAAATTCTTGAAAAATCTGGACATTCACATCACTTAACTCCTCCGATGGGCAAGGCTATGTTGGCTAGTTCATGTAACCCGCATGCCCAGCCATCGCATGCTCAAGCAGCTACTGTTTGGCTGGATAAAGGGGGCTGAACGGGCACAACGTGGGCTGGAAAAGAGATGGATTGATGGGATACAGGAGGATATGGAATTGAGTGGGCTTGCCAAAGACTGGTACCAGCGGTGTGACAATCAGCCTCTATGTAGGAGGCTCGTGAAGGACGCTCCTCCAACAATGGAGGGCAGAGGAGTGATGCGCACATCAACTAGCGGAGCGCGGGCAGATAAAAAAACAGCAAGTTGGCAAAGTAGAAGGTGCAGCTTGTTCACCTGCAAGTCATCTCAGTCAGTCAACCCATAGCACTTGAGTCTGTCCCGTGAGCTCCTGTCAGCGAGCCTTCGACACTTCACGTGGCTTCAGAGTGCACTTGGCCTGACACAAGCGCCGTGGTGACATCAGTGCCACTTATATAGTGGCGAATGGTGGCTGGTGTTTTCTGCGGGCATTTTGTGTCTTGTAGTCACGACTAATGGAAGTGTGCGATGAGAGGTTTGACACTTTTCACACCCATCAATGTGAAGGCGCTATAGTGCGACCATCATGGCCAGATAAGCTGTTGAGTGTTGAAAAGCAAGGCAATCAAATTTCTTTGTGAAGGGTTTTTGCAATGGGGGACGCCCAAAACAGATTGCATTTGAGGTGAGAATTGGCTGTTCGTAATTCATACTTTAATAATATTTTACCATAAATTAATTTAAATGTGTGTAATTTATATTTTCTACAAAAACAAAATCCAATTTATAATATAATCTACGTCTCTGATGATAGAAAAAAATCTATAATCTGGAAAGTAAGGTGTGCCTGTTGGATCATGGGTGCTCTCCAACACACCGGCTTACGAAGAAGCCATGTTGTCATTATGGGCAGCCCGGGGTACGGGATGTAGTACCAGCCCTAGCGGGGTTTGGGTGAGCGCTGGTTAGCAGCGGAGGCACCACGTACAGTGTGCGGTGCGGGCTCCCGGTGAGGGAGCGAGAGGGAGTGTCAGCCAGCCAGGGTTACCTTGGGGCATGATACGCTGGTTGACCTGCTGTCACGTGGCCGGATGATATTGGAGGGGGGCCACCGGTAGACGGGGGCCGTGGGGCGGTCACGTGGTCCAAAGGAGCTCTCGGGAACCTTCGAGAAGCAGCTCGAGAGGCCTGGAAGGTGGGCGGGGCGAAGGGCGGAGCCAGCTCCAGCCCGGGGGCATATAACGAGGGCCCCGTGGGGAGCTCGAGGTTCTTTGTGTGCTGGTGTTACGAATATCCACGTCGGGGAGAAGAAGCCTCTAGCCACGCGGTCCGGGACCCAGCTTGTGGTCCGGACCGGGATAGCGAACCGTGTCTAGTTCTGCTTGTCCTGGTGAGGGTCGCGGCAGCAGCACGTTGAGTAGGGCGGTCCAGACCTCTCTTTCCCTGGTGATGGACTCTAGCTCTTTCTTGAGAATCCCCAGGCGTTCCTAGGCCAGCCGAGATACATAGCCCCACCAGCTTGTCCTGGGCCAGCCTCTGGATCTTTGCCCAGTGGAACGTGCCCGGCAGAGTTCCAGGGGGAGAATCAGGGGGCATCCTTACCAGGTGCCCAAAGCAAACCAAAGAGTTTGGTGTTGGTCTATTTGCAGCTTTTCCTCAGATGAATCCTATTTAAGTTGTGGGTATTCTTTCATATGGCTGATGTAGATGCAGATCAACAACTATAATTTCACCTATAGGTGGTCAGACCAAGACAACTGTGTCAGCAGCAGTGGGAGTGTATCGCTGTGATGTCTTCTTCGTATTTGTGAATTGGGAATTGCATCATTGTTGTATAGTCTGTGCTGGATGACCACAGTCGCACAGTGGAGAGTTTTAAATTTTCGATTTGTGCATCATCTGCCATGGTTTGTGCGGATGTGGTTTAGGGTGGACCATGAGTTTCGAGGAAGATCAAAACCAGGGATCTTCTGTTGGGTTTTTCACAAGGTGTGAGTTATTTTGAACTCCATTCAACTTTCCAAGCATCACCATGATTGAAATTGCATTGTTTAAGATTAAGCACATGGGTCCAAAAGGGCTTGCATGACTTCAAGCGATGACGAGGGACGTTATTGAGGTCCTGATGAATGGGAAGGGGTCTTTTGCTGTATTCGTGGGGCTTCCCGGAGGGTTGTAGCATTGCAGCGGAAGGGCGAGGGACAGGTGTGTGACAGCACGGGTAGCCAGGGTGTTGGGGTCTCATTATTAACTAAAATTAATAAATTGTTGTTTCGCTTATGCAACTAGTTTTGGAAAATTACCCTTTTTTAAAGAAGCAAACAGGAACAAACACATCAAATGCTGCACCTTATTTGTAATGAGTTTATAGTTTTAGTACAATATTTTTTTTATTTTGTAACGGCGTGCAATTAACTTCACATTTTGGATTGTGCGGCAACTCCTATTCCGCATCACGGTAATTGCACTTCACGAGTTCTTAGCGCCTCGATAAACAGTGCAGCCTGTTGATAGTGATGTAAGGAGTAAAGCTGGACAGACTATGACTTTATTCACAAGTTCAGTAAATTGAGGAAAAATCTTAACCAATTCAAAGTGGGTTTGATTTATTCATTCTGTACCATAATTTATTTTTAGAAAAACATGACATCAATTTTTTTAATGTTTTATTCCCAATTACCCATAATTCAGATCAGAGTATGTCCATATGTATGAAACGTCGTATGCTAGTATTTAATTAAATTTATTATTTTATCTTTATACGTGACTTTACCGAAAGAACCAAAGAATAATTCCTGCAGTCACGAAAGCTCCAAATTAAGTTTCCATATGTATGTTTGCAGGGTCTCCTATACACAACATAATCTATATTAAAAGGACTTGAAGCCTTCTTAAATAACGGGACACTCATTATGCAACAACAAGTTTATACCCAGTATAATATATATTATATAAACACAATACATAGGTATTCCCCGCTATAGGTTTCCACATTGTGTTGTTGCACATATACATTGCTGATTAATTCGGGAACACATTTTCTTATAAGTGTAATGTTTTCCATATTTCAAAACAATGCAAAAATATAAGTAATTTCTGGTCAAGTAGCATTTCCCAGGAACGTATATAGCGGGGGATGCCTGTATATGATATACTCTATATATTAACTTACTCTCGTCAGGTTATAAGGAAATAATTGACAGTGTGTTAACAATTCCTTTTCAACTTGAAACTCCCCAGGTGGAGACACAGCATAATGTAGTCCATTTAGCATAACAGCTGATAGAAATGTAATAAAACACAATTGCATTGTATGGCACCAAAAGAGAAACATTGCTGGTGGATTATACAGATTTTAATCTGATTGTGAAATGTTAGAAGTATCAAGAAATGATATTTAAACTGTCTTGTAAGAGATACACACAAATCAACACGTTTAATGCTGTGCTTGGTTTACACGCATAGACAATTTGAGCACGTGTGTTGATGTTCATTACATGCGGAAAACCCCAAAGTGCGTTTGTTTAGTCGGAGCATTGAGGGTGGCACTCAGGCTAAGTCCAAGCACAATGCGTGTGTCAGCCGGGTCAATGACGCCGTCATCCCACAACCTGGATGGAAACAAGTTATAAAAACAACATTAGATAACTTGAATCACAATGAGCAGCAGCAACAGTTTCATATGAAAGTCCTTGGTGACACAGCGTGCCATGTCAGGGTACAGAGCCAGAACTGAGTGAGTAAACGATTACAGGTGAAGTTAATTTATTTTTTGTGTACTATGTTTTTTATAAGGTCAAATCTCAGGTACATAAAACTCACCAAAACATTTATTTGTACATACTTTGGATTTACCCAGCTATGAAGAAAGAGAGATGGTGAAAGACATTCTTGATTTGAAGCTTTCGTGACTGCAGGAATCCATACTCTTTGGTTCTTTCGGTAAAGTCACGTAGGTAGAAAATAAAATAAATCACGACGTCTCGGGCGCAACACAAGCGTCCATTCATCAGGTGGGAAAGCTTGTGTTGCGTCGTGATTTATTTTATACCTACGTGACTTTACCGCAAGAACCAAAGAGTATGGTGAAAGACAGTTAAATACTTATCTCCATATCAAAACTGGTTATCTACAAAGAGACAAAAGATGGCACTCATAGATGCCATTATCACCGTATGGCTACATATGTTGCCAAAGAAGTTCAACATACATATGTACAAAAGTAGAACCGAATGTTTCACAGGTTCCAGTGGTAAAAAAAACTTGACCACGTGAAGTGTCTGGAAAAGTTGGCCGTGCCAACTTTAGTAAATTCATGATAAATTAGAATTGCCATTCTGCTGAGAAAAATAGGTGAAGTTCAGCTTCAGCCTACTGATGGTAGCGACTCCTGAGGCAGGGGCATTGTGTGCAGTGATTCCACGATAATATAATGCAAGTGTATCATTTCCACCATGCTCAAGACCAACCAATTTGGCTGTATAACAGACAAACACATGTTTATATCTATGTGTCTCGTGGAACTGTTCTGTACTTTGTTGAACTGCTTACACAAAGTTATGAAGGTTTCCACTGGCTCCCAATACAACTCGAGCTCCAAAGCCAACAAGATTTTACGTGAATTCTAGATTCGAAGTTTTCGTGACTGCAAGGTTCCATACTCTTTGGCTTGATACAGTAATTTTGCTGTGACGGTGCCACCTGAAGACGGAAGCTTGTGTTGCCTCCAAAATGTCGTGATTTAATTTATTTTTATTTTCTACGTGACTTTACCGAAAAAAACCAAAGAGTATTTTACATGAACTTGCTCAAGTCTACATATTTCCTCACATCTTGCTCTGTTCCCCTCCATGTGCACTCTATTCCAGAAACCAAGGCATCATGGCAAAAGTCCTGGTCAAAGGGGTTGTAATTATTAACCCCCTGTTGGTTCAGCAAATTGTCAGAATTCATAGCGCCGATTTTATTTTAGAATCAACTGTCACATTTTTGCCGTCTTGACCATGGTTTTTCTATTTTTGTTGTCATGTTTGTAATCGTCAAGAGTTAAGAACCGATAGAGGAATTGATGCATCATTACAACCCTACCAGTTTACCGGCATTTGAAGGGAACTATGACCCAATATCGTAAAGAGAATGTCCTTGCCTGTACGATCGGCAATTAACCTGCATTAATTTCAAGCAAGCCTGACTGCTGATGAGACAATGAATGTCGAAATCAGTCCAGAATTTGCTTATCTTGAAACAATGCTGTGAAATTGTGCACTCTAAAAAAATATTTTTACTTTTTATTCAGAGATACGAAAATTGCCTGTAAGATGAGCAGTTCACCAGCATCGATTCAAGCAATTCATAGTTTAGTTTTAGTTTAAGCAAGCTTGACTGCGCTGATGACACACAAAGTCGAAAGTGGTCCAGAGTTATATTGTCTTCAATGCTGCTTAAATTATGCAATTTATGTGAAGGAGACAGCTTATTCATTTTGCATTTGAAGGTCAATACTTTTTTACCATCCGTGCTGTGGGCAGCGACATTGCTAAATCCCTATCCATGTTCAAGTCCAGATTCAGAATCTTATCCTCTGCCTGTCTCTCTCATCATATTCTTACTGCACATAACTCTCTTATGTCTGCCCTGTTCCCTACTCCCTGCCAAATTTCTCCAACCAACATTACCTCTCTTCGTAATGTACGTCTTGCACTTGTTTGGCATCTTGCAACCTGGCACTATATGCTTTATGATTTTTTTGCTGTTTTATGGCAGTACGTACATTGTTAAAATGAGTGTTTCCACAATATTGGCCATAATTAATACGAATTGCATTTACTAGTGACGACGACTTGCGTTGCGATCGAAACGTCGTAGTTTTCTGTAATTTGATTATTTTCTTTGAACCTATCACCGTGACTTTACCGAAAGACCCAAGAATGCAAAATAACCAGTCCCTATCTGCTATTGGCTGACAGCACCACTAGGATGTGGGTGGGGGGGGGGACACAACTGACTTGAGAAGCCACGTAAATCCTCTGACAGTGTTGTGACGTATGGCCAGTTCAAGCCACCATTATAATAAGCTAACGCAGCCCCCAAACATTGGTCCAAAAGTCCTCAATTGTATTACAGGCAGATGTTTGGATGATTCTTGAAACTTTTCAGCAGCATATCTCTAGGTACTGCCTTCAATGTGCGTTCATTTTCAGGAAAACTGGTGCCACCAACAGTGCCATTCTGCAGACAAGCAATTTGGCTGTCCACTACAGAGACCCCGCAAAAACCTCACAAGCGCTTTGCTATCACGTTAAGCCGCACCACCTCTACATAACAAAGGCTCAGTCCCATTTACAGCAACCGCATCTTTACATCAGCCGCACCTTAACAACTCTTGGAACCTCCCATTTCAACCAGTCTACACAACAAAGGCTCATTCCTAGCAGCGTGCTTCAGCCGCACCGAACCTCACAATAATAATATCCAGGTGCCTGCCTAGGCTCCTCCCACCCTCAACCAGTATATATACAAGGACTGTTTTCTTGGAATTTCTCTTACTTGATGCAGCAATCGTGCTGTGACGGTTCCACCTGAAGACGGAAGCTTGTGTTGCCTCCGAAACGTTGTGATTTTTATTTTACTTTTATTAATTTTAATTTTTTACCTACGTGACTTTACCGAAAAAAATCCTAGAATATCACGTTAAGCTTTCTGCAAACATGAGCCGACATGTGCTGCCTGCTGGTATGCCACTGAGCTCCCTCTTTGGCTTCAGTGTACATTCCCTCGGCTGTATTGATTTCCTTGCAGAGTATTTCGCCTGTAATTTCCTGCAGAAAGCTTAGGCTTTGGTTAAGCGTGGACGGCTCCGAAATATTTAAGGTGGCTGTCGAGACGCAATAATCCAAGGCTGTGATATATCTGCACAGTTATCGCATCAACATGCTCGTAAAATACCACTAACACCACTAAGCAGTGTCAATACTTGATTCACATTTTCTAAATCCATACTTGACTCAGTATTTTTGTTTTGAACTATATAACCAAATTACTTGCATTAATGTGCACTTGGGTTTTTGGATTTCATTCTGGGTCAATGAATGCCCCAGTGACACCACCTGTCCATGATGATGCCGTGCTCACTCATAACCGCATCTCAGTGCACCCATGGTGATATAATTGAGCACATGTCGTGACTCCCTTGCGCCTGGCAACAATACAATTATACCACGTGGTGCTGTTATCTCACAACCACAATGCATTGCAAGATGACATCTTGAGTACATCAATACCGTACTGCAACAGTTACATACTTAATTTGTGAAAGTCTGTTTTTTTAAACTTTCTTTATGTAATCCATGTGCAAATGGCAATGTAACATAAATAAAAATGTTGCCATTTGTTTAAATCGTGAATACGTTAAAGGTATTATTAAACTAAATTTTACACGTAGGCCTTCGTGATCAATATTATCATTCAGAATTAATTACTTATATTAAATGTATCATACACCCTCCTGCATCTTGCTGACAAATGGCCTATCCACAGTTGTAATGTGTGGATTATAATAATACATTCTAGATTTGAAGCTTTCGTGACTGCAAGGATTCATATTCTTAGGTTTTTTCGGTAAAGTCACGTAGGTAAAAAATTAAAATTTATAATAGTAAAATAAAATAAAAATCACGACGTTTCGGAGGCAACACAAGCTTCCGTCTTCAGGTGCAACAGTCACAGCACGATAGCTATCGTGCTGATAGAAATAAATAAATGGCACCCTGCTGCCCAGGAAGTGACCCATGGAAAAGAAAATGTGAGAAAAACCTGCCTCTTGACTACAGAACTACGTAAATTACCTTAATAATAATAAAGGACGTGGTGTTTTAAGAATTAAAACCGCCACATATGAATATTATAAGTTTCATGATAGATGACATGTACCACCTGGGGTCAAAAGGACGGCTGCTTGCGTTGTGGCCGAAACGTCGTGACAATTTTATCTTAGGTTTTATTTTTATAATTTTATTATTTCCCTTTTACGGGACTTTACCGAAAGAACCAAGAATATGAATCCCTACAGTCACGAAAGCTTTAAATCGAAATTTAATGCCGAAGTAGATCGCCACCAATAAAAGGAAAAACAAACCAATCCAGAACTGCAGATCCCACTTTGACCTCGGACCGTGTGCCCCCAATACCCAAAGATCTGCGGATCCAGCATTAGACTCCTCAGCCACCTCAAGAGCCACCACCAAACCTGATGGACGCCATCCTCGAACCGCAAGGGACTGCCAACAGCGATTAGGAAACCATAAAAAGTAACAGAATATGTAAAGTAAACCATGGAAAATTCAAAAGGATACAGGCACAGTTTACTCAAGAGGCCAATGTTCAAATTATCATGCAGTAGAATGCTGACTTTTTGCCGTGTCATTATGCAGTAAACATTTTTTCAAATATAAATGTCCTGACTTAGGTGAGGAAACTGTTTAGCACCATGTTTGAGATTAATCATAATTATGCATTATCACAACTACATTTTACATCTGCACATTATGATGATATCACGTCACTTGCTCTTTTGCAAGTGAACCTCGATCACTATTTCATGGGCTCTCAACGAAGAGATGTGTATAACTGATCCAGAATCTCTTGTAATAAAAGCATTGTGAATCACTCTAACATGGCTACCTTATTGGTGTAATTTGAGTAATTTGTTCTGTTAATTACAGATATTTAGAGTTTAAGCGTAAGAGCAATGGCTGACATCTTACTAACATGAGTGAATGGATCAGAGTGATGTGTAAAGAAACCATTACAATAATGATAAAGGAAGACTGGCCTCCTGCATCATGTCAGATGGGATAAATGAGCAGCCTTGTTAGATGTCAGCAGCTGTGAACCGACATAACCTGTGAGTTTGTTCTTCAACTGGAATTAGAAACCCATGGAACTGAAAGGTCAGCTGGCCCACTTAATTTGACTCATCATCCTTCATGTCTTAAAGGTGAACAACTCAATAGTCATTTGTGAGTGCGCAGGACTGTGGCTGCCAGCAGTAATGTTTGGTATTCGTAAAGGTCAATAACTTGGATAATAGCTGTTGATTACAATGGCAGGTAAGTAGCGGATTAGAGTCACAAAGCACACACACCGACTGTGTTCGTGCAAAACCACCAAAGGTTAAGAAAAATACTTCCATGAGCAAGTGTACAACTACACAATCGCGTGCTTTTAAACACGCAACAGTTATAATTGTATCGATTTAATATTCATCTTTATAAAATCATTGAGGGTCACAATGATGTGTCAGTCTGATCTTTCATGGACATTATAGACAGTATTTATTTCACAATTTCCCTTCTACGTGACTTTACCGAAAGAACCAAGAAGATGAATCCCTTCAGTCATGAAAGCTTTAAATCGAAATTTAACTGCCACTGCGGGGTGGGATTCCACAAAACGTTAAGATCCTTCAACAAACTCCGGGATAAGAAGGCTCAGCTAATCGAGTCTCTCACGTTTCTGAAGAGATGCCGCGACTCTAAGGTAATACCAATCGCATTTACACTAACCTCTGCTGCATTTCCAATAAATATGCTAAATTACTCGTGATATGCAAATTATTTTGTCAAGGCGCTCTTCCCCCTCCAACCCAGCTTAAATATACGCTCCAAGCCTGGGGTGTTTCATTCAGATGCTGTCTTCCCGACAGACCTGTTCTTCACCTGAGGACGGCTGCTTGCGTTGTGGCTGAAACGTCGTGAGAATTATTTTATTATGTTTTATTTTTATTATTTCCCTTCTACGTGACTTTACCGAAAGAACCAAGAAGAGAAATCTCTTTTCTTTTAAAATTTTAGTTATCAATTTAGTTTTTTTCTCTTTTTTTTCTTTCTGCTTTCTTCACCTACGTGACTTTACCGAAAGAACCAAAGAGTATGGATCCATGTATTCCTCTTTCGGTCTTAGTGTAACTTCATGGGTGACTTGCCAGTGGTGTATTTAAAGTCCCAAAGATACCTATGATTTGTCTTCATTTTCAGTTTCATAACAGTACCACAGTATCTTACTATAATACAGCAATGGCTTTACACGTAGCTGCCCTTTTGCTATATTGCACAAACATTCACTCAAATCGGTGACCAGTATCATCAGCATAGCAGCATCCACACATCTTTGGGAAAGCTGCCCTGTGCCGAATTCACGAACCTTTATGTAGTAACTCTACGTGCAGGAGGCAATCAGTACTGTTTCTGGCCTTCTAATGAGGCATCACAGGGTGACCAATCCATGGCCATAGTTCACAAAGATGAGATCCCAGGCTTAACCAACTAATTATTTGCCTGAGAATTATCAAACAGGGAATGACTACTGGAGCAAATAATCAAGTGGTTAATTTCCCCAAGCCTTTCCATCATCTGCTCAGCTGACGAGTGAGTGCCATCTGTAGGAAAGTAAAGTAATTCTGTAGATAATACATGGGAATAGCAATGGTGGATGAATTCACTTTCCACATTGAGCTTTAATTAAACCCAGTATATCCAACTTTAAAGTTCAGCTAACCTAGCTCTATACCATGGCGGTTGTAGAGGAAAATACAAAATTAATTTACTGATACCCATCCGACCATTACTGTGCTCTGAATCCGGAGTTAAATTACTGTTATGACTAACATCACTGGCAGTTCATATCTAAACCTATCATGCCTCCCCCCCCCCTCAATCAACCAGCACTGACAAAGTATGCCAAGAAAAAAGCCCATATGTCACTTTGAGGAAGCCTTGACCCAGTAAGTAGTGGACTGACAAAGGCCTGTCAAGTATTCATTATTATCGTGAGTCTACCTTGCGCTTGAGTAGTATGGGGAGCCTTCCTCTTCGAATCTCTGAATGATGGGTTGTTTGAGAGCAGCTTCTTCTTCTGGAGTCATCTACAATGTATCACAGCAGCAAAAAAATTAAGAGGACAATAATTTGACATAATCCGATACACAGTAAACCCTAAATATTCACAGGGGATGCGTTCATAAAGAATGGCACGTATATTAAATCTGAAAATATTAATATTCAAAGCTTTTGAAGAAAACAGGGTTGTGGGGGCATAAACACACATTACGTTTCAATATAAAATATGAACTGGATGTATATATTCACGTATAAATATGTCATTGCATTATTGTGTTTAACTTACCTTTAATAATGATGACCATAAAGATATTTAAAAGTGCAAATATCAATGAATTAATATTATATGACATTATTTAAACTAACCATTCATGATGTCACTTCCGTTTCGCTTAGGGGTCATGGTTAACAATAATACAGTATGTAATTCCCAAAATTGTAAAGGGACGGACTCATGTGTAAACAGCGTGGCAGACAATGGCAGACTGAGAAGGAGAGGTTCAGTGCGTGGGCAATGTTCGTGCTCTCCCCATCCACGCCGCTGCCATGTGTCAGTACAGCATGGACAGTTCTTCTTCATAGGTAGTCTCATACTATGGCCGTGAAATTAAACGGGGTCCGAAGATGACCTAACATTTTCTTTCCATGCACCTTGCATATACATAGAAGGGCTGCCCTTCTGCCTACTGCATACTTCTCTCCGCCAAGGTTTGCCCTCGGGCTCTGGTCCTTCTTTGTCTTTCCTACGCTCCAGCGAGAAAGCATCTCACTCGCGTTGACAGGTGGGGGGCTGCCGGGCTCCAGTGGATGCCATTTATTTTGTAAAGATTGAAATCGTGCCTTAATTCAAGGCGTTTTGCAGCAATTATAAAATTCATACGAGGTATTTGGGTTAGATCGCGTAAATATATAAATGTGTCGTTAAAATCCTCCACCACCAGATACAGCCAACTCGTGAGGTTTTGTCATGTAAACAGAACGTGGCCAATTCGTTAATGAATTTGTTACGGATGTCCATAAGAGGATAGTAGTTGAGATAAAGTGAGTTATTGAAAGTGGTGGTGTAGTTATGGTGACAGCAGAAACAGGCGGGAGAGGTTAAGAAGGGGTTGGGGTAGGCCTGGTCATAGCTGGGGAGTGGGGACAGAGAGTAGCAGGATGGGCTAGCGAGAAGAGAGGGAGGAATGGAAGCTAGTTAGTGAAGATGATTGTTTTATGCGCAGTGGGTGTTTGTTCCAGTGAAGGGAAGCAATAAAGGAAAAGTAAAGCAAGCGAGACTGGGCACAGGGCAAGGAAATCACAGAGGGACAGTAAAGATTGGGAGCATAGAGGACGGGATGGTACAGAGTAGTAAGATATGAGAGAAGCAAGATAAGTTGGGACAAGACCATGGAAGAATTCATAGACTAGAGTGAGAAACGTAAACAGACAGCGATAGTAGACAGGGAATTGTGGGTCACTCACTTACCACCACGGCCTTATGGGGCACAGACCCTATTCTACTGAGGTTTCGGTGACGCTAGGAGTGTCCATCTGGGGACGAGGGCCTTCTTTTGATCGACTCGGGGACTGCTTGAAGCACGACTGTTCCCTTCGTATCCGAGGATCCCTCATGTGCGTGGATGCTGGCAAAAATTACCCATGGAATTTAGCTGCCAAATTTGCACTCTCTTCCTGGTCTTTAGCAAACAGGGTTTCTACATTTAATGCACTTCTCCATGATATGTTCGTACCCGAGGCAGTGGAAACACAAAGTGTGCAGATTGCAATTTTTAAGCCAATTTTCATATCTCACACCTGTGCATACATGCCGCCATCTCCGTGCTGCCGTGCTTGTGAATTAATTAATCATATTCCTTACAAGCCGCCGCACCGATGAAGCTAAATAGTTGGTGAGAAACGCACTCCTCGATGATATGATCGTACCTGAGGCAGTCGAATCACTATGTGTGCAAATCTCTATTTTTAAGCTATGTTTAACATGCATCACACTTGCTGTTAATATGTTTCTAGGTGAGTGGAGATGCTCTGTAAAGTTGCTAATTTCCCAGTGTTAATGTATCTGTGGATGTCCACTGCTTTCACTGCGATTCCTGTGTCTGCTCCTGCCTCCCTGCTCATCACTGCCATGCTCGTGTCATTACAGTCCTTGTGTTTCAATTACCATATGATTGTCCCTTCCCTCCGACATGTTCATTAGGTTCTGCTGCATCCCTGCCATCCTATGTGCCCACCTTCAATGCCTTACATGCACCTCCCTCACCTGCTTGCCCTCACGAGCGTAGCGGTCCTGGGTGATGGTGGCCAGCACAGTGGCTGCTTGCTCCCCTCCCATCACGGAGATGCGAGCGTTGGGCCACATAAACAGGAACCGCGGGCTAAAAGATGATGAGAATGAAAGTGTTTGTCAACCACAATTGTGATCACATCCTTTGCGCCAATCATGTTTACTGTCCATTCATCGTTTCAATATGATACAAACATTTCTACAAAATGATCATTTGCACTTTGATCATTGTGATATTGACTCGATTCTAACCACAAACCTCAGATAATCTGAGGCTTCGCTGTCCTCATCAAACAAAATATAGTAAGTGACCAGACTGATGAGGTGCCAGTTGCACTTCAGCATAGCCAATAAGAGGGCAAAGCTAAGTACAGTAAAACCTTGGATTGCGAGCATAATTCGTTCCGGAAACGTGTTTGTAATCCAAAGCACTCGTATATCAAAGCACTCGTATATCAGTTGTGATCACGTGACGCTCGGCAGACAAAGCGTATACACATACTACTCATATTGCAAGACCTCTCTCGTTTATCAAATTAATATTTATTTTAAAATGTTTGCTCGTCTTGCAAAACACTCGCAGACCAAGTTACTCGCAATCCAAAGTTTTACTGTATAAGCAAAAACAAAATAGTTCACATAAAAATTTAAGGCAGCAAGTAGCTGATTTTAGACTAAGCAACTAATTCGAATGCCTAGAGGAGCAAATCGATATCGAGACTTTAAATAATGAAGTAACTATCAGAGCAATTGATCGTACATTTAATTTATGAATCTTTTATAAAGCAATTAGACCAAATAGTCTGAAACTACAAAAGACATGTTGAGAAAGAGGAGAAACACAGAGTGATGGACAGGAAAAAGTGGAGTGACACAGAACTTTATAAAATGATTACAAAAACAATGAGAAAAAAATATAGAGAACACCACACAAACATTCTTTAAGGCATCAGTGAGCAATAGATGCATAAAAGCAGCAAAAAGTTTGATCAATTTTGAGTCACAAATTGATAGCCCTCATGGAGAAAAACATATAATTGATAGAGATTCGTGGAAGCATGTATGCATATCTATAAATAATATAGCCCAAGAATTAGATCATCTCTAATTCCTATTTAATTTACATTTTGACACAGGCATTTAATCAAACAGTACAACATAAAAAAAGTTTTTTGTTATATTTGATGTAACAAAACATGGACACAACACCAGGATGCCTAAGGATGATATCCAGTTTGAGACCAATTGCCTGACATATCCTGAAAAGATAGAATTCTAGTTATCCAGGGTAATGTGAGGGATGCCTCCCCCTGGATCCATGTACCAATGGTAGCTATCCAGGTTCACTTGGTTATCTGAGGGTTTGGACACCAGAACACATTCCTGCGGAAGGAGCTGGTAGGAACATTGGGTTGCTCGGTCAATGGCCAGGGTCAACGGCGGCGTGGTGTATTCCGCAAATATGGCCGATTGTGAGGGCGGGCACAAGCCGGCGTGAGTAGGTTAAACGTTGAGTTTTATAAGGGCACCACGGGGTGACCAGCCCCTCCCCACCCAGCCCCACCCATCCCACCCCCCCACCCAGCCCCACCCTCCCCACCCAGCCCCTCCCTACTCTCCCCTCCCCTCCCAGCCCAGCCCCTCCCTCCCCACCCAGCCCCTCTCTGCACGACGGACGGACACAACAATCCCCTGTGGGCTGGTGGAACCAGTGGGTTCCTACCAGTATAAACCTGGATACCTGGAGTTCTCGTTCGTATAATTGGATCAGTGCAGTATGTGACGTCACCAAAAAATGGGCAGGGCTTAATTGGCCACTGCCTTGGGTGGAAGATGACAGCCGTCCCACGTAACATTGCAAACCATCCAGATATATAAACACAGACACAACTGCAACCGAGAAGATGGGTACAAACTGAGCAATCATTGGAAGGACGTTATTAATCAGGTAAAGTCTTAACTAACTGTGTGTGATGTTTCTATCCTACCTGCACATGTCAGCTGTTATTTCCGACTCTCTGTGTCTTTCTTTCTATCTCTGTGCATATCTCTTCGTTATCTACTCCAATGACCCGGGTGCTGCTGCGGGGTCCACTTTCTGCCCCACCTCCTCCCCCCCCCCCCTTATCTCCCCCCTACTACCGAGGCCTATATACACTACACTATACACTACAATATAACCTCGTGCCACGGCAGATCTCTCGCCTACTTCAGCAGTTATTTTCTTGCTGTAGTTGTCCCACCTGATGACGATTGCTTGTGTTGCGATCGAAACGTCGTGATCTATTATTTTTCTACCTACGTGACTTTACCGAAAGAACCAAAAAGTATGGATTCCTGCAGTCACGAAAGCTTCAAAGCAAGATTGCAAACCAGCTCACTGTGTATGCAGCAGATACCGAACAACACTGTTGGAGAGCTCCATGCTGAATGCACTCTGCACACCACCTCCAATCAGAGAATGATGTGCAGCGTCTATGCACACTGAGAGGATACTAGTTAATTCTAGCAATCCAATGTAGCAGCCGCTAGAAAACGGGAAGAGCGATCCATGGTCCGCTGACCTAGAAAACCAATTCTTTGCATAACCAGACCACATTTAATTGGAGTTCTACTGCTTACGTGGGGGTATCGACACATAGGCCCTTTGTTTCCCTCATCTTGTTGCCTGAAAAGAGCCTTCCCACAATCCGCCAAGCCATGATCAGAGTTGTACAATGTGTGTATGGATCCCACAATGTTCGTTGGGCCTGTACACTTGACTAAAACACGTTATTTAAACCACATGCGTCGCAAGTGGTGGTTGGTAACGTAAAAAAAAATGCCTAAAAGTATTTATAGTTATGCACAAACTACAGCACCGATGTTTAAACGTATACATGTCTTCAGGTAAATGCTCAGTTGTAGCAGTGCCAAGTGCTGTGTTATGTAATGTGTCACCTGTAGGCACGGCCACACATGCCATAGTTGCCAGCGCCGTAGGAGCCTCCAACAATGAGGGTAATTTTGGGGACATTTGCGCACGCCACTGCCGTAACCATCTTGGCACCATCCTTCGCGATGCCACCAGCCTCATAGTCACGCCCGACCATGAATCCTGGGAGCGACACAGCATGAAGACAGCAGGATTATTACATATGTAGACAGCATGCTTCAGTATACCCAGCAAACGGAACAATGTGGCTGGCTAGAATGACAATTAATTGTGATGTTTGACTGAAAAGTTTAAATTGTAACATTGTAATTTTGTACCGTATAAAAAAAACAGTTTTCTAAGTCTATTGTCCAAAAGACACGATACAACGCCACTATAAGAAACATTGTAACATATACACTAATTATTCTGTAATTAATTATTGTATAATTAGTGTATACAAATTATGGATATTTACTGGCAACATTAATTTTGTTGTGTCGTAGACCCAAGCGGACACGGAACTTCTTGTAAGGGCTTTCGTCGTTTATTAACACTGTTTAAATACTCAGGCTCACACCAGGGGTAGGTGTTCTCTATACTCGGTCCTTCCCATGGACCCCCGAGCTCTACTCGTCCTAACCTCGGCTATCCCTTGGACTCTCTCACTCGGGCCAGAACCCGGGGTTCATCCAACACTGCCCGGCCGAGGAGAGAAGAACCCCACTCACTCTCAGCCGATTCTCACAGACTTCTTGGAGCCCAACTCTCGGCTATCTGATAATTGAGGTTCCAATGGTGTCTTGGCTATCTCTTCGGCTCTCCCACTTGTCGACCCTGGACGGGGGTTCAGCCAACACCGTCCGGTCACGAGCGGGAGAGACCTCCTGCAGCCGATCCACACTCCGGACTGCCACAACGACCACGCCCTCGTCACGGGGTCCCCCTTAAGTACCCCTTGGGCGGCTCCTCCCCTTCACTTGGACCCGCCCCTGTTCCCGAAGGTATCACCTTTACAGCACCCGTGACATGACGTCATCACACTACTCCTCTACAATTTTACAAATCAAAAATTAGCAATTCTTTGAAATTTTTTACGGAGGGAAAAAACATTTAATAACATTACTGTTTTTTCTTGGTTGAACATTTATTTCAGCGAAGTAAATTAAACAGTGAAATGGAAGTCTAATTTTCTGCAACAAATATTTTCTGGAAAAAAGGGCCTTAATGCATTTATCATTTGTTCTTGCCATCAAATTATTTATTTCCATTCTGCCCACATACGCTTGACTCCCTGGGGAAAACTCTAACAAGTGCAATGCCAATGGATCTATGTGGTGACTCCTTTTTGGCTCCTTACGGGTAAATAAACCAAGCTCTTTCATCACTTTCTAATCAGGCTGCACATGGGTGAAAAATGTCTCTATATGGTGTCAGACACATTTATTCCAGTATTTGCCTAGGGGAAAGCCATTATTCTTGTTTACATTTGACAGGTGAAGGGGAAAATAACAATTCTCTTCGATCTTTGAGATTGAGTTTATTGTATTTGTTACACGGATGATTCCATTTAGCCAGGTGGTGTGTGAGCACAACAAAACAAATGACAAAGACATCAATATTGCAGAGAACGAGTAGAGTCCCTGAGGGATCTTGCACATCTAACAAACGAGGTATTTGTTTGATGGTCGTAAACTAAACATCCTCTAAGAAACAAATATAATGCCAAGTTGCTATGATAGCAAGAGGTGCCAGAAAAAGTAAAATTAAAAGCATTAACCCATTAGCTCTGTCTGTTTATAGTGGGTGATAACACTCGTTAAAATAATCCAATATAAATAAAATGAGTATAAAGTCGTGTTACTGTTAGTTTCCCAATAGCTTGCCAATAAATCCAGCACTGAAAAGAAAGGCCTTTCCGGCGAAGGCAATGCCATTACACACCATGCCCGTGCCTTGCATTGATGCCATTACACATGACATCATTTCACTGTCACGCTGTATCCCGTGCGACTATCTCGTGCTGCTCAGAAGGTAGTTACTCATCATCATAATCAGCCATTATCAATGCAAACTGCAAGGGAGCTTACACATTTTCTTACCAATGACAACCTACATTTAAACCAAGACCTCACTGCCAAATCAAGTCCCAATCCTCCCATTTACAATTGTGCTGTCACCAACCTAAAATCTTATCCAGATCCGGAAGAACACTGGCAAACAGAGTGGAACACGAACGTCCAGAATGAACCCCTCATTTCACACCCAAACATCTCTTCTGGATTTGAAATTCCTCGAAGATACCAGTGTACCATCAACCGCATCAGAACATTAACAGGCTGATGTGCACATGAGTTGTAGATTAAAGACAAGCCACAGTTAAACTGTGACCACCCAACCCAAACTATGAACCACATAGTAAAATACTATAATCTGAAAAGACACAAATTCGCCCATTTTCTCATTGAAAATAGGTCACAAAAGCAAAGTTTGTGGGGAATAATAAATATTTTTCTGTTATTTTGAGACATAATCAATTAGGAAATAACACTTACTACCCAGGTACAAAAAAAATGTTGTTACACAGTGTATTCGAATGTTATTAGAATGATAATTCCATGCAACGTTTTTTCTTTTCCACTGGGATATAATCCGACAAATAATGTGGTTGTGTGATGGAGTCACCTGTGTCAGCTGAGTGGCAGGCTGCTACTCTTCTCTATACATCAAAGCTGGTGTGCCTCATTATGCGTATCATACTTTCACAGTGGCCAAGAAATAAATAAGACCATGCCAGCTGTGAGCTGCATAACTGCAATCGAGTGTTCCAATCGAGCACGAATTTTAAACGTGAGCATATCGTATATTTATTGAATTACACTACAGATTTATACTTCATCGATGATATATAATTCAACAAGGCATGTTTCTGAAATGTTATTAAACATCCTAATAAAGCAATAATAACTCTTGCTGAATGGTCAAAAGGAAAATTGAGAAGCCAAATTGAGCTTAATAACAATTGCGGTCACTCTAGCTTTTGGAAAATCGACAAGAACGTGCAAAAAATCCTGCTGTCCTTTGTGCTTTCGGTAGCTATTTGCACGTCCTCGTGCAGGTGAGAAGTAGTGCGGACCTCACTCTTGCACAGCCGAGTGACATAAACAAATCTATCTTTACATGAGGAAGCATTTAGTGTCCGTCTTAAAAATATTTTTGTACTAACCAAAAGGTCTGAAATTGTTTAAGTGCAGCCTTCTGATAATTATGCGTCAGTGAAGTAAAATTGATAACTGTTATCCCACAGAAGGGACTACCAGCGCAACGAAACTGTGAGAATTCTAGATTTGAAGCTTTCGTGACTGCAATGATTCATATTCTTAGGTTTTTTCGGTAAAGTCACGTAGGTAAAAAACATTAAAAAGTAAAATAAAATAAAAAATAAAATAAAAATCACGACGTTTCGGAGGCAACACAAGCTTCCGTCTTCAGGTGGTACCGTCACAGCCACGACGGCTGTATCAAGTAAATGAAAGATTGTAGGAGCTACCACTCCGTTTATATAATGGTCGGAGAAAAAACCTAAGAATATGAAACTGTGAGAACTCTGTCACATGTCTCGAGCTGTATGGAGTTCAAGGAATTGACAAAGAGGTATACAGCTTAAGAAGCCTACGTCTTCTTCTCTCTTCAATGTGAATTCCCCATCAACCAGACAAAAATATGTGCAGGCCGAGACATTATTTGACCAAAAAGCAAAGCACATATGCATATCAGTCTCATTTTAGCATCAACCTTAAAATACATTTACGTGCAGTTTAGTTAAACGATTGGCAACATGATACCTGGGGAGTGAAACCAGGGTGCAGTAGTCATATCACTTACTAGTGCACCTCTCCAATGCAGAAAAACACAAATTATCACGTTGAATTCAACACCTAAAATCTGGGTTGAATACTTCGTGCACTGTGAGCTCTTCAGCTGAGCCCTTTATTATATATTTTCTTACTTCATTTCCCCCAAACGTATCCCAACTGTTATAGCGTGAGATTACAAACACATTTTGAAATCTCGAAAAGCAGTGCACCGTGTATCAGGGAATAGAATACCCCCTGTAAGCAATACTTCACAGAACAATCCTCCAAGTTGTCTGTTTAACCTTTACACAGTGGGGTGCACTTTCACACGAGCTCTGCAAGGAGATGTTTTGTTCTTGTAACAGTCAAACTGATGTTACTTTTTTATTTATAGAGCTGGAATTAAGGCATATTAAGGGCCAACCAAATTTAATGTGATGCTTTTTGTGTACAGTTATTGTAAATTGGGCTGGAGACACACAGAGAGAGACACACAACAGACACACAGAGACCCAACATTGTGTCTCTGTGTTGTCTCTCTCTGCTTGTGTGTCTGTCTGTGTGTACCTGATGACGATTGCTTGTGTTGCAATCGAAACGTCGTATTGTATTCGATTATTTAATTCATTTTCTTTCTACGTGACTTTACCGAAAGAACCAAATAGTAATTCCTGCAGTCACGAAAGCTTTAAATCAATACTCTTTGGTTCTTTCGGTGAAGTCACGTAAGTATAAAATAAAATAAATCACGACGTTTCGGGCGCAACACAAGCGTCCATCATCAGGTGGGAATGCATGGTCTCACTCTACTTGTGAACACAGTTTAATCATGAATGGCTACCTAAATTCGAACCCAGGATCTCAATGGGACCAGCTTAGCATTCTGACATGCGAGACATTCAGCCACTCATTGACCAAACTCGTTTTAATATCATTAGATAGTAATACACAACTTTGAATGAAGATGCAACCTAAGAAATGTTGCTATTGCATCCATCTAAAAAGTATCAATCAACAGCAATAGGGCAGTTGAAATCAACTTTAAAAACATATAAAATACCCACAACACCTCCCCCAACCTCCGCTATAGGTCTGGTGTGCTATTATGGGTTTTAATTCCCTTCCACACATATGTCTGGTTGTACTTCATAGACGTCACAATAAAATAACACAGTAAACAATAAAATACCACAGGAAGTGGCTTAAATTGTGTTTAGAAAAAAAGTGTAATGTACAATCATAATCCAGAACTGGCACACAAAAATGTAAGTAAAAGCATTTTATTTCATGCCAAGAGCTTTTCATTGATGCATATTCATCTCTAATGCTAAAGTAAAAAGGGGGAGGAAAAGTAGAACCCAGCATGGAACGCCGAGGAACTCTCTGGCAGTCATGTTGCACAGCAATGTTACTGAGGTTGGCTCATTCATCAAGAGAAGGAATAATATTGGAGCCACTTGCCATACCTGTGATATTTTGTAGGAAGATAAGTGGGATGTTCCGCTTACAGCACAGCTGAATGAAGTGTGTGCCCTAGGGAAAAAACCAGTGCCAACATAGCCTCATTGTTACACAAGTTTTAGTCACGCGAGTAATTTTGTTCATTTAACAAATTGAGTGAGGTGTGCTGTCAACTTGGCAATGGAGAGACCATCCTCATTATATCGGCTGTATCCGACTACAGTTATGTTTTCTTTAATGTGATATATAGAATTAAAATAATTGGTACTGATAGAAAGATGGGCTGCAGTTAATGACAGAAATGGGGATCGTGAGCTGCTGCTTTACGTGAACTATGCTGACTGTAAATTACACTCACAAAGGTGTTTATTCACGAGTGGTTCAGTTATGAGATAAAATTACACCATCCCTCGGTGGTTGATAAGAATGAGTGTGGGAGATTAACAGTGCTTGTCTGCTGGAAATATTGGAACCTGCCATACTAATAAAGATAAATTCAGCACATGATTAGAATCATTAAACAGGAGTTTAATGTAGACCCAAACCACCATAGGGGGAGATTAAGCAAATGGCCTCGAGTTGATGTATACACACCCCTTACATACTTAAATAGCAACTGTGATTCTTGTTTAAGCATCAGTTCCAGCCGTTGAAAACTGCCGCATCTGTTTTTACAAAATGCCAATTCGAGCCTCTCGCGTCTCACTGAATGGCAGAGCCTGTTGCCCTGCCACGTGCTCGGTGGAAAGCTAATGGAAGGCCTCCAGTATTGTGGTTCATGGCAAAGCCATTACATGGTCACTAGCCAATGAAAGGCCGAATTTCCATGGCAGAGTTGCAACGCGTTTTTATTAACGGCTGCATTGATGAACACTTAAAGATGCTAATGGTGAAAAGCATGGCACAATGCTCAATTAAGCACCTTAATACTATCTTCTTGGTTCTTTCGGTAAAGTCACGTAGAAGGGAAATAATAAAATAATAAAAATAAAACATAATAAAATAATTGTCACGACGTTTCGGCCACAACGCAAGCTTGCGTTGTGGCCGAAACTTGCGTTGTGGCCGAAACGTCGTGAGAATTATTGTATTGTTTTATTTTTATTATTTTATTATTTCCCTTCTACGTGACTTTACCGAAAGAACCAAGAAGATAAATCCCTGCAGTCACGAAAGCTTTAAATCCACCTTAATACTACTTTATGGCTTTGATTTATGTCATGGTGTCTATCAAGTTATAATCCATTAATAATGTTTTACGGCCCATTGTCAATCCACCATTGTATGAAGATCACACCGCATCATTTAGCACAGTGCTCAGGTCAGGTTGATGAAGGGAGGTCCCAGGATCAGCTACAAAATTATTGATGTTATCCAGTCACCGGGAATCACACTCAGGTTCACTGGGTTCAATTCGCAGTGCTAATCACTGCATCACAGATCCACCCAATAGAAAATATAAAAACAATGGAACAATTACATTTTTGATCATTTCAACTATTGAGAATTCATTAGTATTGAAATTAGCTTGAACAAATGAGCTTTTATGTTGTATTAACTACTATGAGATTATATACAATTATATTCCTGACAGTTTTTTTTATATGCCTTCATATTAACTAAGCTATATTCTTTAAGATTAAGACATCGTGTTCATGCACACACATTATTATTTCAGTATATATGTACATACGTTGAAGTTCACAAATTCAGCTATCGGCTTCAGCTCCCAAAAAGAAAAGCATCATCCCCACCTTACCTTCTTGGCTGACTCAGAAAACAACACGCCATTATTTCCTATTATTCCAACCGGGTATCCAAAAATGCGGGCAAAGCCTGTAACACACACACATTACACCAAAGCAGATCAAAGCTCCGTGCAGGTGTTTTGATCTAATTCACAGTGGCTTTTGCAATTGTCACCAGCAACAGAATAGCAACCACATTTTTTTCAATGACAAATAGACATTTAAACCGTCACCTGCAATGTGCTTTATGTATAAAATTCGAAAGATAAGGTTAACCATGGTGGTCAATTTTTACTTAAAACATTACAGAATTCTCGTAAAAAATAAATGCATGGAAGATTATAATTTTCAGTTATTAATTAAAATATCATCACTAGCCATGATTTATCCACTGCTCAAATGAAGACCTCCCCAAGCCTATCACAGTCCCGTGATGGAAAATGTTTCATGTACCTGCACACGGGTTGACATTGCTATATTTACACAGAGAACGCCCTTTCATTGTGTTCTCGACATTAGCTGATACTCTGTTATTAGTCTTAACCACCAGCCATCATCTCTTCCAGTGAAATATCCTGCCCAAACCCCCTTAATTTTCCAAACAATGTTTCTAAACGGCACACGTTGTTTAAGTCACGTATTTCTCTTTGTCTCAGTGTAAGTTCAAGCATGTATATCTCAATGGGTATATGCAGTTTTTAACCATTGTTCTTCGTGTTTTTGATCCATATTTCTTTGAAGATAGGATACACTTGATTTAAAAAAATCTGAACATTTGATTTAGAATCAGAATCGTTGTTTAAGTCATGCATTTCTCTTTGTCTCAGTGTAAGTTCAAGCATGCATATCTCAATGGGTATATGCACAGTTTTAAACAATTGTTCTTCGTGTTTTTGATCCATATTTCTTTGAAGATAGGATACACTTGATTGAAAAAAATCTGAACATTTGATTTAGAATCAGAATCTTTATTTATCCTGGAGGAATCCGATTAGCTATGACGCTCTTTATCACAAATGTACAGGTTATCAAGCTGACATTTTTAAAGCACTCTAACCTCTCATCCACCTCTTAAGTTTCACCTTGTCTGTCCTCTCTCCTTACACCATGGAAGTCACCGGACACTCCATATATTTTCACTCAATATGTTCACCAATCATAGAACCACAAATCCTTAGCCGGGCTGCATTTGTTGCTGTCACACACCATCATTGGGAATGCAATCCAACTGCAAAAATGCAGTATCCAAGTTTCCTGCACTTTCAAGAAGCATCAGAAGGCATACGCCTGTTTGGACGAGCATATGAAGCCTGACTTCATACCTACAAATCACAGTTGAACATTTATTTTTACATTAAGCAAAATGTGTGCGTATTGATAATTGTTTTATAATAATCGTTATCATTTTAATTCCAGTCCACCTTGAATAACTGTCCTCGCTATGCATAACGTGTTGCTTTCAGTGGTGTCCAAAATAAATCTTCAATTGTTTAGCAACATATTTATTGTACATGAGCTTTGTTTTAGACATATTTATCTTGAGCCCAACTTCGAGGCCTTCTTTATGAGGTTAGATTATAAAACTTCGTGGAGATCATCACATTGAATATTATGATAATTTCATCACAAAATATGAGATGTTAATGTTTTATTAATATGTACGGGTTTATTTCTCCAACAAAACTCTTGGAGAGAACTTCTCATGTCGCTGCCAATAACTATTATGAGCGCATATAACGTTGTCTGACTTCCCAATATTAAAGACTAGCCATGTTCATGAGAAAACTGAGTTAGAAATGTTTCTCCATTTTTAACCACATCTACTATTAGATTCTGAAAAAATCTTAATACATATCAAATACCATTATGTTTTGCCTTTTTAGAAGAGCGGAAAGCTTTCACAAACCAAGGTGTAAATAAAATAAATATCTATCAATAATAAAGTTGCTATAAAAATGGAACGCCATTGAGCTTGCATGATCAAAATACCAAGACACTTCACACAAGGTAAAGTACATTAAATGCAACTGCTTTACCCATCATATCTAATGACCGTTAATAATAGACTCAAAGGGACTACATACACAAGTGCCGTTATATTAAAGAGATCTAACCATTAATAACGAATTATTAGTGACATGGACTATCACACTCACCACATTAGCAGTTCTGTAATGTGACAGAAAAATGCACCGCGTAATTATGACATTTGTTGGTGTTAATGATCATATGTTCACACATCCATAATTATAGCTTATAGACCTCTCTATGCCTGAATCCAGCCATGCACTATTTTTATTATCGTCTAATTGCATGCACGTCATTACAATCCCGGTAGATTTTAAAACATTATATTTAACCTCCTTCACTCTTAACCACCTTCACACCCATTATGTTCAATCTCAATGAAAGTAACATTTTCCACTATTTTCTCACGAACAACTTGACAACTTTAGTTGTGTGATGTGATGGCACGCGACTTGGATTTTCCTTCTTACAGCAGTCAATTGTACGTGTTTGCCAGTGGATAGTTGAGACAGATATAAATTTAATGACAATGATTTGCTCGGTAAATGTTCATCTTGCTATAAATATGCATATGTTTGTATAATAGAGCCAAAAGCAGACGTGAGAGTCTGCTCCTCACATGAGGGACACGGAATTGTCACCGCAGGCTCAGGGACACCAACAGAGATCACCCCCCCCCCCCCCCCACATTTGTTGGAGCAGGGAAACCTCTCTGAGCAGCTTGACTTGTGTGCGGCATGCTTGCCACAGAGCACCTTAGAGGTTGAACTTTTAATCATACCACTGCCCGGTAATGATGAAAGTCATTATCTGTATTGTTTGCACTCTCTACAACAAAAGTATACATTGAAACACTGTACGTTGCCTATCCGACTGTCACATATTCCCCCTCGTAAGCATATTTGCATGGTGTAACTGTAATTTTCTTTACATGTTCACAAAGCTGACCTTTTCACACATCCCCAGAAAGTTGGATATGAGACATTGCAATGTAAGCTTGTTCTGTAATACTATTTGAAAGAGCCCAATACAACAAGTTTGAAAAATAGTCATGAAATTCCAACCTAAAGCAAATGCTTTAATTGCTTTCTTGGTGGTTTGCTGCCTGGGATCTGCTGTGCTGAGTGAGTGGTCGTACACATTGATCGCACTGCTGTAAGGCATAAATTAGCATGGAGATGAAATAATTGTGATGTAAGAGCACACAATCTAAAATTGGTGATAAAAAAACCTAAATAATTACAGACTGCTTTCATATTAGGAAAAAGTGTTGTAAAATTATAAAACAGCTGATTACATATTCACTGGATATGTCTATCAAAATATAATCCAAGCGAGTAAAGATGTATGTATACCAACCAGACAGCACCACTGTTGCTATCTTCACTCATTAAATTACTTATTTAGTAAACTAGGCATTCAGAAATTAAACTTTACTGTTTTCATTAACCTTACAAAGACATATTACAGCTGATGATAACATTCTGAAACCTTGCTCTTTGGCCAACGGATTCAACAATATGGTATTTGGCTGATTTTTTTTTACTGTTTTCAAATAGTAGACAATGTCCAACGTCTGGTTGTCATCTTTCAAAAATTTCAACTGATAAATTGAGACCGTTTTTCACATTTTTCACACGTAGAAACCTGTATAAAGAACCTAAAATATGTTTTGTAAATAAATCATATAATCCTGACCACCCACAGAATGCTCGTAACCTGCATAATCCTTCCTATTCATCATTATAAAGGCATCATATGAGGTTTGGCTCCATTTTCTGTCCTGATAGCTTTGGATACAGTTTTGACTCAAAAATGGAAATACTAATGTTGATTTATGTTACATTTTGTAAACTGCATTGCTGATTTCTAATTACAGTAAAACTTCGTTATTATGGTATGTGATCATTCGTAAATGGGGATAATTCAGGTATGGCTGTGCTTTCGGCATATATATATATAGCATGAGTAATTCGCCATGAGCCGAATTGCCATACTGAATGGTCTAATTTTGGCATGCACGTGAAGCGACGCCATAAGAATTGTATGTGCCCATATCTTAGTGTAATGAGCGACTTTCGCGAGACGTCCTGTACAGGGTACTTCTTTTATTACTCACACTGGGCACAACACAGCCCAACACTTATTCTTCCTCACACTGAGTACAACAATCCATATTAACGTCTCTACTGACTACACACATCCGATCACTCGGCGTGGTCCCATCGCCCTCACTCGGCTACATCGCTGGCTGGCGGCGTCGTGATGACGGCGATGGAAACCACGCAGGAGATCTTCCACATGGCCGGACGACGAAGAGAGATGTCGGCGAGCAGCGACGCAGCCTGGACCCAAGACCCCACACACGAGCCCCGAGCACCAGGTCCGCTCCCCCTCATATCCCCCCAGACGTGGCTAGGCCCCGCCTCCGGCCACGCCCTCTCGTGGAACCTTCGAGCAGGTTCCCGGAGTATCTCGGCTAGCCCCACCTGTGACCTTTGCCCCAGATGCACCTCCTTCTCTGATTGGTTGGCACTTAACCGTGCCCGTACCCGTGATTCCCTTTCCGGCCAGCAGGTGTCACCCTGTCAATTACATCACCTCCCCCCCTCATTAAAAAAAGATAGCCGTCCCGGCTAATACTAACGAAATTCCAGGTAAGAACACCCCTGTACAACATTAAAGTACAGCAATAAAAGAGTTAACGAAGCAACGACTCTGGTTTTTCTTAAGCAAGGCGGAACAATCCGCAGGAACAATAAAGAAGCACTTAACAAGGCAAGGGATAACGAGAAAATGGAGAGAAGGAACAAGATGGAGGGGAGAAAAAAAAATCACAAATCAAGCAACAAATCACAATTCCCCCCTCCCTTATACAGCACACAGGGACATTCATTTTTAAAGGAATCTTAGCATTTAGACCGAGTTTGTGACGCCGGTCCGTCGACGGGAACGGTCTTCATCTCCTGCACAGGGTGTGTGCACACCGCTGGAACCCCCGGAGAAGTAGGTGGCAACATCGGCTTCACAGGTCCTGCTGGCCTGGCGGCAGCAGGCAAC